TTATATTTAAACTTTTCTATTTTTTAGTGTTCAATTCATAATTCTGTCCTTATTGTTCCATCATCAGGTTGGAATGCTTGGTTGTCAATGCCGGTGTTTTCGAGTCTGTTTTCAAAGAAAGAAGGAAAACATCCAGTTAATTCCCAGATAATCACTACTATATAAATATTTCATCGGGTTATACGTTTTCAATGGCAATAATCATCCTGAGATTATCTAATGAAACTATGACCAATTAAAAAGAGAGGGCAGAATGGTATTAATGAGCATTATTATAAGAACGGCCTAAAAATATTGAAAACGTCTGAGGTCAATGTACCGCCATCAATTCTTAATATACAGACAAATACCACTTGACTCTATCTCCTACATATACTGGAGGAATAACAGGTCTACGTTATGTAAAAGCTTGCTTAAACGTCATGGCCGATCGCATGAAGGCATACAAAATTTATCTTCCCTCTCCTGATTCTGTTAACAATTAAGGGTTCTATTATTGCGGACCCGTACAGCTGTGCTTTTTAAACGGAGGATGTACTGACAGTTCCACCAGAAAATCAGAAAGCTGACATGTTGCGGAATAATTATTATATTAGTGGAACTATGAGTCTATTTCGATATCGAGGAGGCCTACTATTGAAAGAACCCCTTATATACTGAGTCAATTAATGGCACACCTTATACAGCCGTATAGAAGGGTTTCAACTGTATAGTGTATGAAAGGGAATTTAGATATATTCTAAGTCAAGGACAACAAATTAAAACCAAAAATGAGTCAGCCTGCTCTTTTAACGAATTATACCATTGAATGCCTGTCAAACCCCGTTTGGATGACTGCTTGCTCATGAATTTACATTTAAATTATATAGTTAGTGGCTCAATATAATATTCAATATACGTACTCTGCTGCCTGTTCTTTGACAAGGTTAACTAATTCCGACGTTGCCTCTTCTGCTGCTACGTCCAAGTCCAGTGGTGACGATGGTGGTTCTGGAAAATCGTCCTTCTGCCAATCGTCTCTATGAACGTCCACTTCTGAAAACTCAACCGGGGGTGGTGGAGGTGGTGGCATAGGAGTCATGTCGTCCAATTTTCCATTATCATCAATATTTTCATTTCTATCTTGTTTACTACTGACTGCTCCTTCTGCAGCTACCCAAGCATGACCATTTGTTGCTGATTTGTTTTTATCACTGAGGGACTTATTGAGGTATTTTTCAACTGCAGGAGCTCCCGTTTCGGCTATGATATCGCCGTAGCGTGTCTGAATGGCGGCATTTGTCTCATTTGGCTCGTTAATCTTTTCGTAAGCATTCTCTTCATGCCTATCACGATTCATTTCTGCGATGATCTCAGCCTGTGTTGCCTGTGTTCCTTTCTCTAAGTCTCCAAGTTCAATGCCATACATATTTTTCTTTTCACTATAATGCAAAATAAAAGTCATTGATATATGCACTTAAACCAAATTATTATTATGTATTCTAATAAACAAA